TGCAGGTATAGGGTGCCGATGCGGATGTAAGGGTGCGGATGCGGATATAAGGGTGCAGATGCCGCTTTTCGGTCCGTCCCCCCCCGGCTCCCGCACCGAGGGGAGAGCTGCTTTCCGCAGCGAGCGGCACCGCCGGGAGGGCGAGCAGCGGGCAGGCGACGGGGGACCGAGGGACAGCGCGAAGCGGAGAGCGAGCACCGGCGGGCACGGCAGCGGGGCCGCCTCCTGTGCCTGGGCGAGCTCCTTCCCTCCCCAGGTCTACCCTCCCCCGTGCCGCTGCTCAGGCAGCCCCGGCCCGCCGGGGAGCGTGGCGGGACCAGAAGTGAGGGGTGCACAAAGCCGAGGAGAGCCTCGCCCGGTGGGTGCACCGTCTGGGGAGCCGGGCACCCCGGGGCCGGTGTGTGTGCTTGCAGAGGGGCTGCCAGCGCAGGGCAGCAAGCAGGCACGGCTGGGCTGGCCGCTCTGATGGGGCGAATGCCTTCACTGGAAGTGAGCCAGGCTCTCCAGCAGCACATCTCTGCCTTCATCCTTCCCCTATGACAGCTTTGCGTTGCTGCTGGCATTCAGCTCAGACAACTGTTTAGGTTATCTTCCATTTCACAGTTGTGCCATCCTATTTCTCCAAAGTCAGTTGTGCACGAGGCTTCTCAGTTGACCTTGGTGGTCCCTCAGCACCTATGTTGTCATGGTGCACGGTACCACAGCCTAAATCAGGCACTCTGTGCAGAGTTTAGCAGGAGCTAATAGTATTTCTTTTGAGAAAGAAGAGATTGCTCAGGAGCTGGAATTGGCTCCCTGGTACCACTCCTCTGCTTGCTCCAGGATGCTACCATTAAGGAGCATGGCTAAGGCCTTGCTGACAGTGGTAAACCTCTCCAAGGACCATTCATTGGCATATAACTGTGGATCCAAGGGAGACTCGGCACCTTGTTTGCTAAATAAAAGTATGATTAATACCAGGCCTCCCTGTTAACCAAAAATGCTCCTCAGGCCCCAAAGTATTCCCCAAAGCACAACCAGGCATGAACCTCTTCCCGACTCTTGGGGATGTCTACACTTTGTCTATAAGACTCTGCACATAAATAAGAAAGATTGTGGCCCAGTGATCTGAGGGTCCCTCTGAAGTCAACACGGGCTGCTTGAGAGGGCAGCTGAGAAAAAGGGTGGTATGGAGGAGCCCACCGAGGAACTTCATGCAGCCCAAGCACCTTCTGTGGGCACCTCTGTTGAGACCTCGAGCGTGGGCGGTGTGAATGCTCCTCATTCTGCCTATCAACAAGTTGGCAGAAATGACATTGTTTAGCAACTCTGGAAACCCAAACCATCAGATTTTCGTGCTGCAGCTTTGCAGCATTCCCTTTGATGTGTGAACTTTGAAGACCCTTGAAGGAAAATTGTTTTCTTGTGTTTTTTCATTATGTTGTTTCTGTTTACTGTCACGACAACGGAGCAAAAGGTCAGATATACCAAACCAGGCTTGCCTATCCTACGAGTATCAATGAAGCTCATGTTTTACAGAAATCCTGAGAACTCCTAGCTTCCTCTGAAGTCAATTCTATCATCCAGGAGTCCATGATAAGTATGATAAGTATGATAAATTTGAACTGAAAAGTCCTATCTGTTCTGTAATTCAGCATTTTATCAAAATGGATGTAATCATAGCTTGACCTATGAAATTACAGGGATTTTCATTTTTGAGAGAGCAAGATATGGAAAATTAAAAAGCGGTCCTTTCTATTCTTCAGAAATTTTAATGAATTCAAGCACTTTATCTCAGACTTATCTAATAGTTTGGGTGGGAGTGAAAAAATGACTGATAGGTCAAGCTCACTTTTCTCTTTCTCAGTTTCTAAAATAAATTGACTGCTTAATCTTTCTTTGACCTGCAATACCCGGACATTACACTCTGGACTCTTCAGGAAGTGAGCAGATTTCATGGCTAATGAGCAAAACTGATTCCTAGGAAGACTTTTTGAGTTCATTTCTTCATGTGGAGAGGAGATAGAAGGCTCAAATAAGGGACCAAGGGCTACACCTTGACCTGGAAGCAGCTGAAGCTCCTGCCTTTGTGCTGCCCAGTCCCTGCCCTAGGGATGCATTAGAGCATGGTAAAATGTCCTTTGTGCACAAACGAAAAAACCCTCAATTTTGCCAAAAATGGCCTCGGCCTCAGACATAAAAGAAAATGTCTTTGAAAGATATTGGTGGCTTTATATCTATGAGTTACCTTGCGAATAAGTATGTGAGAGAGAGAGTGGGTACAAGGTGCATATGTTGAATATCCCTGCTCTATCCATGCTCAGGGCACAGCTCCCACCCTCCTGTTACAGTTAGACCATGTGACTTCTAACACCTAGCGTGAAGATTTTTATTCATGAATCAAGAGATCATTAGACCCATGGTAACCCAAATAGGGGTCAATTTTTCCTGTGGAAGTGACAGAGAAAGGCATTTTTGGAGTTCTTATCCAGATATTTCCCTAATCAAGCTTAGGAACTGGATTAATGGCACTTGTTGTGGCTAGAATCTCAACAGTAATGGAAAACTATTTGGGAAGCAATTGCCTATGAAACATACCTCAGAGAATTGCTTTTTCAATGGGTTTAATATGATACATCCTGTGTGATGATCCTTGTGAAATGTTTATTTGAATTTTATGATGATGTTTTGGCTTCCAGTAAAAAGTCCAATAGTTTAATGATAAGACACATTGGCTGCTACATGGTTATCAAGTGATTCTTATACCATCAACAAACAGCTAATGTGCTGTGGGAAAATAGCAAATTGTATGTGACCATGTAAGATTTTGTGCAGAATGCAAATCTGAATTGTTCAAGTATACACAATTTCAGAACATTTGACATGAAATGAATGCATCTGGCATTGTTCTTCAATGGCCTTATGCTATACTAATAAGATTTTGTGCAGAATGCAAATCTGAATTCAAGTATACACAATTTCAGAACATTTGACATGAAATGAATGCATCTGGCATTGTTCTTCAATGCCTTATGCTTATATAATTATATAGCATATAATTATATAGCACGCTTAAGCCTAGAGCCTAATTCTCATATATATTGAGATCTCTTTTCATCCCTTTACCAGGGATCTACAAATAACAGAGACAGACCCAGAACGGTTATTTTATATAACTTCAAAAAAATAGGGATGAGATGCAGTCTACCTAAGCACAGTGATCCTGTCTGTAAATATACCGGACCTCAGCTCTAATTTCTGTTGTGACAAGAACACTGGAAATGTTCTTATCCAAGGATACAACTTTATAAACATTGGAAAGAGAGACCATGACTGATGACCTCTTAAATTTTTCATAGGTATGTGTCTCCAGGGGAGATAGAATGATTTCGATCACAGATGAGGAATCTTTGTAGCACAGTGATTGATTTTGACACTGTAAGATTATTTATTGGCAAAGCATCCAAGTGGCATTGGAAAAATTAGCAGAACTCACAACAGCGTCCTGATTTTCTAATTAAGTATGGCCGGGTTAGTGAATTACTCTTTCACCTGTATTTTAAATTTTACATTACAAGTTCGACATTTTTAATTTTTACTTTAATGAAGGTTTACATTTTTAGAGCATATGCTTGTACATATTAATGCATATGAAGCATATGTGATAATTATGCATCTCTCTCCTTCTTCCCCCTCCCCTCCATCCATAAAGAGTGAGAGATTATTCTTCTGCTTGTGAAACCAGACATTATAGTTTCAATTCTATTGTGCTCACAGGCAGGCAAGAAGGGGAGCAGTGACATCTGCGTGCCACAGGAATGCCCTTTCCTGGGCAGGTACAGGCAGAAGCAAGGCTGATCTCGCACTTACTCAATCATCTGGTAAGAGCTGGAAATGCAATGTTGGTCTTTGGTTCTCATTTTGAAAAGTTAATGGGTTTCCCTGCTCTTCTGATCCCTGTCATCTGTTACACTCACATCGCTGTTCTCCATCCTGCCAAGCCACTAGTATCACTTGCATCTTACCTGGAGTGAGCTGCTTTAACCCTGATTTGAGGCCCATTTTTGTCCACACTGAGTTAGGCATATAGGTGGGATGTAGGACCAGCTGAAATGAAAATAAATGGCAGGGTATTAAGATACTGAATGTAAACATATAATGTAAATACTGCAGTCAAGGCTATCCTCCCAACCTAGTAGCTCTACAGGCAATCAGCTGCAAGAGGAATAAACGCAGTCCTGTCAAGCTCCTCGAGCTACTCAAGAGAGCATGTCCTTGGAGGATAAAAAGCATTTCCTCTCAACCATTTGGAGGTCTCGGAGAGAGAGAAGCAAAGCTGTGCAGAACCACCTCTACATTTGCAAAAGCTGTGGCAAGGATAAGGAGGGAGGGTGGCTGTCTGACTGCCCAGAGATGCCTGCTCTTCTTCTGATCACAGGGGCCGAGCATCTGCCAAAGCCTCTGTGGCATTTCTAGATCGGTACTCATTCAAAACAAAAGTGAGAAGATCTGGACTTGCAGCTACTTGGAGATGCCTTACCATAACTCTCCAAACAGTTTTCACAAGAAACATGGAAGATGCAATATTTGCTCATTTTTGTTCAAAAAAACCAACAGTGAATGACATTCTAACAACACATTTTAATAGCAAATACAGAATGGTTTTTGCCTCACAGAGACAGCGTCTGTCTCTTTTAACCAT